GGGGGGCTGGGGCCCTGTGGGGGATAGGGGCTGTGGCCCTCCAGGGGGGAGCTGGGGCCCTGTGGGGGGAGCATTCCATGTGCTGTGGGGCGGGCTGCACCCCTCCTGAGCAGCCCCCCACAAGGTCCCCCACACCCACAATCCCCCAGCAATCACCCCACACCTACCCACAGACCAACCCACATCCCTCCACACACACCCACCCTCCCTCCCCTACACCCCTTCCCACCTCCTTCCTGCAAACTCCACATCCCCCATCACACACCCATTATGTGCAAAGAAAACCAAAAGCACACATCAACACATATAGGTATTTAGAATTTATTTTATCATGGTGATAGAGACACTGGTAGGCTTCCACATTGCTTTAACATTGTAAATATACCAATAAGCATTGCCCAACTGATCACTCTCTCTCTAGATATATGTGTGTGTGTGTGTGTGTGTGTGTGTGTGTGTGTGTATAGAGTGGTCTTTTGTTTTAATTGTGGAAAAACATGGATTTTGTAGTATTTTTAAAAATGGATTTGGGATGCTGCTGTAGCAGTCTAGCTGGCACATGGGGTAGTGTCCCCAGGTACCAAGTGACTGGGCCCCAGAAGCTCTGGAGAGCGAGTGGCCCTGAGCTGCTTGCCAGGGCAGCTTTTTGTACTGAGGGGGCCTTTTTATACTGCTGGGGACAGCACAGGTGCTGGCCCCAGGCTCTAGCTCCCCCTGGCTGCAGATCCAGGAAGAGCCAAGGCAGGGTTCTTTTGCCCCAAGCGGCACAATTTGCTCCACAACAAAGTGCATGTCCGAGCACGTGCACTGAGGTAAAAAGCCCCACCTCAAATTTGCACCGCTTCTATTTGAGCTGCTGCAAACACATGTGCTTGCATGTGTGGACGCACCCTGAGAGATGGGCTTGTGTAGACAAAATGAAATTTGAGGTGATAGTATGCACGTGAACATAGGCCCAAGCCCAAACAACTATTGTTTACATGCTAGAGGAAAAGGCCATTAACAGGACAATCCATTCTCAGGAGAGGGACACCTGAATACAACCAAAGACTGATATTTTTTTACTCTTGATCAGAATAAGAGGGAATCTATTTATCCCCTGAATAACTGTTAGCTGAGGATATTGGATTAGATCTGCAAAGGTGTGAATATTCCTACAGTTCTTGGATAAAATTGTAAGTCAGGACTGTCCTTTGGCCTGATAGAAAAGCTGCTTATTTGGGAAGAGGAAGTCATGCTTCCTAATAATTGAATAGAATATAGATGAATGGATAAGGGGAAGGTACTTAGGGGATATCTTGGGGAAAGTTTCTTGGTATAAAATTCTCTAGGCAAGGTAAATGCATCCAGATGCATTTGAATGATTTAGTTCTGCAGCTAGTGCAAGCTGGGGTAACCAGTATTACAAGGAGAAGCTGCTCCAGGATTGCCTCTTCTCTGGAAGAAGAGACCTGTAATTTTTACAGATTGCATTGGCAGGCCTCACAAGCTAGCAACACTTCCTCCACTGGAGCTGTAAACCCAGGACTGAGACAGGTGAAACTAAGATTTATTCAATAAGAAGGTAGCCCAGAAGTAAATATTAGTTGTTTTAGTGGATAAGCAGTGGAACAGTGGAGAGAAATGTGGAGCAGAAAGGCACCCCAAAGTAAAACCACCTCAGTTTGTTACACTACATCCAAACCAATCAACTAAATTGATGGATGTGGCAGTTGAGTCTTGACAGGCATGGGCTGTGGGAAGAAATAGGCAACAACCAAAAAAAAAAAAAAAAAGCCCAATCAATGTGCCATTATGGATGCACAACACCAGGAGCGGTAATGGGGACCACACCAGCACTATGCTTCCTTCCTCCTCCTTTTCCCTGTTTCAGACTTCCATAGTTTCTGCACCTCTAAACATATTGCTTAATGCACCAGACCTTCATATTTCTGAATGGTAGCTCTGCAACATCCCACACTGCATCCTACTGTCAAAGTTGTTTGTTTGTTGATTTGAGCCATTGTGAGGAAGAGCAGGGAGTAGATGGATCGTGGTCATCACCAAAACTGCCTATCATCCAGAACCAAATTAGAGCAGAAACTGGGAAAATGAAGACCTGTAATTCACTGAAGCAGCTGCATGGGGCAGCACCATCCAAAAGGCAGTGTAGGCAAGATGCGGGTGTTTTTTGTACCTTGTAATAACCGTGCTCTGCACAGCAGGGTGGCTGTTGCTACCAGCAGTGGAATTGCACCAATAGTGAATGGCATTCTCTAGTTTCCTTACTCTAGGAGCAGTCAGAGTACTAAAAGCTAGTGCAGCTTTTACCCCACCCTTCCTCTGTGCACTGCTGTTTCTGAGGCACAATAACTTTGTGGGCTCCCCCTGGGACAGTGTGGCTGTCAGAGAGCCATAGCCAGGCATTTTGGTGCCTGATGCAGGTCATGTGCAGAGTGCTCCCCTACATATGTCCATTTGATTTGGTGCCCCCCATGCAAATGCACCCTGTGGTGGTGCACCACTAGTACTGTCCTTTCTATGGTACTGGCAGCTGTGCATGACCCTGGGGACAGCACTGAAATTGTACACTCTGTAGATAAAGAGCTAGACAATATCTATGAGCATGGATCCAAAACACTAATGAACAAATTTAAAAAGGAGCTAGCAATCTTACTGTCAGGTCTGCGCACACGCTGTCATTGGCATGTTACACTCATATATAAAAGTAATTTATAGAGCAATGTAACCATATATCCATTAAACTGAGAGGGTCAAACATACAGCCCATGGGCTAAATCCATCCTGATGCCTGGGACATTCAATCCATGGACTTTTGCCCCATCTCTGGCCATGGTGGTGGGGCTTCCTGAGGTGGCAACCAGAGCCCCTAGGAGAGCAGCACTGAGCAGCACCACCTGCAGAGCCCCTGCCACCACCGCTAGACCCAGGACAAAAGACTCAGCTCAGCAGGTTCTGGCTGTGCAGGTGGGGCTTCTGCCCATGGTGTTGTTGGAGCTGCCAGCCTGCCTCACAGCAAAAGCTGAGGTACTGGCTGGCGCTGCAGGAAGCCTTGCCACTGGAGCTAGAGCTAACTGCTGGGGGAACCCACAGTGCTGCTTGCTCAAGTTACGTGTCCCCAGATCTTGCTGTGCCCAGACTGCTGCTGTGGGAAGACCCACCACCACTGCCACAGTGCCAGCTCTAGTCTCAGTGAAGAGGCTTATGTATGCCAAGCTGGTGGAGCTGTAGCTGCTGGAGCTCTGGCTATAGAGGCTGAGCTGAGCCTCTGACTACAGTGTTGCTCGGGCTACTGGTTTGACCAGCAAAAGTGCTCCCAGCTGCTGAAGACCCAGCTCTGGCCACGTAGCAGTTTTAGCTCACTGTGCTGCTCAGGCTGCTGTGCCCTAGCTGTCACCAGAGTGCTGACTGCTGCTACAAGAAGCCAGCCAGCTTCCTGTGGCAGCCTCAGCTCTGGCCAGAATGACACAGTCTTTTGCTCTCTCTCTCTCTCTCACACACACCCACACACACACACACACACACACACACACACACACGCACACACACACACACACACACACTGTGTCCCTACAGGATCAGGATGCTTGTTGCCATCATGGGTTTATGCACACGTTGCACTGCTAGGGCTGCCAGTGTGAGCTAGGGTGAGGCCCATGGGCACCTGAAAAGGAGGAGATACAGCTGTCCAACCAATTTGAGTCTGACACCCCTGCATTAACCTATACAGATTTTCCACTGTGTGTCTACTTTACCTTCTACAAAGGGGCTCTCAAAGCAGGAAAAAGAAGTATACTAATGCGCATACACCAGTGGTAATGTGTATGACGTAATCCTCACGTGCTTGTATAATTCATATGCATACATCCTTTATACATCAGTGTAAATCATAGCTTTCTTGTGTAAGGAAAGTTTGGTCATTTTTTTTTTTTAGTATTAACTCATTTTTGTGACGTCCTCAGATATTTGCATAGTATTTATAGGCTATTGCAGGAGTCATGTATCATACAGCCACTTCATTTTTTTTGTGGGAGGAAGCAGTAGAATCATAGGCCAAACCCTTTCACCTGCTTTATATATATATAATTTTCCAGTTGCAATGATGCATTCAAAAGAACATAATTAGTGCTGAAAACATTATTAGAAGGGATTTCAAACCTCATGCTTTAGAGCTTGAGCCAGTCTCTACATGTTAGAGACCAGCACCAGACCTACTGCAGGGAGAAGTTGATTACCTCCATCTGTCTACTGCAGTGTTTTAGTACCTTCCCCTGAGACAGCTAGTATTTTGCTGCTGTCAGAGATGGGACTAGCTCCACCTCAGTCCTGATCCAGTTGGATAACTCCTACATTAGTAAGAGCAGCACAGTAGCCAGAAAGGAACAGAAACTACAGCATCTGAAAAAGCTGGGAATGCAGGGGGAAAAAATGAATCCAACTCAGTTTTAGGAGCACATTTCCTCCTAAAACAGAACTGCCACAACAGAAATCTAAATGCTGAGTTAGGTGTGACTTAAATTATATCCTTCAAAACCTTCAGTCTCAAACTCTTGGGCACCATGCCAGTACACTTATTAGTGCACATGGCATACTGTGCATAGGTGTTTAAGTAGGGGAGAGAATACTTTCACACTTGTGTTTCCTGCATACAAGGAACAGGGGCACATTAGCTGTGCTAGTGATGGTATATAAGCTCTCACTGAACTAGGATTAGTCGGTCAGTTTCTGGAATGGAGAGGGGAAGCCACTGTGAGGACAATCAGAAGTTATACATACTTAATACATCCCTGACCTGAATGGGGAGTTACTAAATGTGAAAAATCAGAGAAAAGATTGTTTAGGGAAGGGAAATTACACAGGCTTCTCCCCTGTGAATAAATCACAGCATGGTGACACACCCACGCACGTGCACACCCATGCACGTGCACACACGCACACACCCACCCACCCAGGGGCCAGCCCTTCTTGTCTGCCTGCGCCTTAAAGGCTGGGTGATTTGGTGCAGGGAGGGACTTGCTCTCACTTCCTCATTGCATTTGACGTGCTGCAGCAGGTTGCTTTGCTTGTGGACTTTCCCTGCTGCTAACAGAGGAGTGGGAGAGACGGGACAGAAAGGCCCGTCTTCCTTCTCCTCTTGAAGTAGCACCCAGTGTGGGGAGCAGTTGGTGGTGCGGATGGGCAGAGTGGAGCTTGGAGAAGGAGGGAAGATGAGTCGATGCCGAGAAGACTACCCTGAGGGGCTAGAGGAAGTAGAAGAGGAGCTCCAGAACCTAGAGTAAGGGGAAAAACTGCTTTGTGCTTTCCACCGATGCAGCTTTGAGTGAACTGAGTATTTGAGACCCTATCCCACAAAAGGCATTTCTGGCACATTTGGTAACTGACTGGAGGTTGCTCTTGAGAGTTTTGTTTTGCTTGACATTGCTTTTGTCTCATTTTCTTCTCAGTTTGATGTCAGAGAAATTGGGGAGGGCACTATATTGCATGGAGACTGAACAGTAGAGTGAATGCCATTGCTTCCCCTATATAGCCTGAAGTAAAAGCTGATCTGCTGCTAGCCTGGCAGGAGAAGGGGATTTGTTTGCCACAGGAAAGGATGGAGACCTCCGAGGCAAGAAAGTAGTTGTGCGGCTGGTAGGGTTTTTCTTCCTTGGGGAAGTTCTTTCAATTAGTGCTGAGTCTTTGTTTGCTTCTCTCAGTCCAGTTGTGTGAATCTGTGAGTTGGTGTATGTACAGATGGACGTGTTTCATTGCAGATGTGCGTTTCAGAATTAAAGAAGGTGATATGTTAAATCCTCCCAAAGCGTAAAAGGCAACAGAAGTCTGCACTAAATCTTATTTATAAATTAACAAGTACCACTTAAGCGGCCATTTGGATTTCAGTTTTCTTCTGCTGAGTATTGTCAGGGACAGTGTTTTTTTCAGAACATTTTAACAGATGTGACTTTTATATTTAAATCAGAATTAAAAATAAGCTGCGTCTCTGAGGTGAAGGGGAAAAGAAATCAGTATGAGGGTTTTTTGGAAGACTATTTGCCTGACTAGTTGTGTTGTATTGTATGTATGCAGATACCGTTTGGTGTCTTCTCTCATATAACCCTTATGAAATGGGAGACAAGGACTACCCGAAATGTGTATCCTTTGGTTGAGCAGTAAAAAGAAATATTGTAGCACTAACGTGTAGCTGGTAAATTATGGGAGCAACATTACTTCTGCCAGTGCACCTGAGCCTCCCAGTAACTTCAGTGTGTGTGTAGGATGCTTTGTTAACACCTAAATACATGATTTGGCCTTCTTGCTCTCTCTCTCTTGCACACGCGTACACACACACATGCGCACACATGTTTTGTATGAAGCCTGAACTGTGCTAGACTCTAGCCTTTATGGTATTACAAATCCTCCAGAGCATGGGCTAGCTTGATAAGCATCTTGGACTGTTGCCAAGCCACTGGTGGAGTTTCAGAAAACAACAAAAATAATGTCCGCCTGCCTCCCCCCATTGACATCAGCTACCGCTTCTGGCAATTTCATCAGTAGCATTATTATTATTTTTTTTTTCCTGGTAAAATTAGCTTCACAATACTAGACATTAGGATAGTAATGCTTTTGGTGACTTTTTTAATGGGTAATATCTGATCACACCTGGTTATGTAATGTTTTATTGTGACGACATGCTACACAAAACATTGTGTATTATTCTAATGTTGCAAAGGTACAATCCCTGATATTGCACCTCCCTAAAACATTTTGTTGCCACAGTACATTTTCTCTTTCAGGTCTCACCCTACAATGACTAGTATTAGAGAGCTGCAGCCAAAGGGACATAGTTAAATAACATTATGAACTTGTATCAAACATACCTGTTTTAGGCATGAACTACTATATTATACACACACATACCATATAAATGCATGCACTTGCAGTGCTAAAGAGTTGCCTGTTTAGATTCTTCTGCCTCAGCCCTCACCAACAGCTGAGTGCATCTGTCCCACTGCAAGACTGAGATAAAGTTATGGCTGAGAATACACATTTTCCAAGGTCAAGAAACTTAAATAAAAGGCGGGGAGGGAGATTGCTGCCATAAAATTACAAGCATCCCACTTATTCTCAGTACAGTCTCCTCACAGTTTAAACATTTTCCTTCAGGACAATCCCAAAGAAAAGGTGTGTTGTTTTTGCTGGCATAGCTGCAACTCCAGAGAGGTTCCCCAAGGTGAAAACAGAAGCAACAGTAGAGAAAAAATGTTGGAAATCCTTCCCATTACCAGTAGCCAAACCAGGACAGCACTTTTCCCACCTGCCTTGGGTTGAGTTTTATCTGACAAAAAAGGCAAATTGAAATGCTAAAATCAGTCCTAGATTTTTTCATCCAGTTTTGCTGCTCCCAGAGGTCCTGCCCACAAACTGTTCATCCCATATCCTAGGTGCTTTCTTTCTCTCTCTCTCTCCCAAACACACACCCCGAAACTCTTCCTGTCTCCTTACTACCTGCTTGAATTAATGAATCATTTGAAACAGAGGTAGTTAGCTGTGTTATTTTGAAGCCAGGCAGAAAGTAGAGCAAAGTGACACCTTGGCGACTGTCTGATTCAGAGACATGCACTTCTGTAGGCAAGAATCTACTTCGACTAAACAGGCAGGGAAAAAAAGATTGTCTACAGAAAGCAAAGGGACAAAGGGTGGGACTGAAATACTGAGTTTCAGTCTGAAAGAGTTCAGTAAAATACAATAAACATTTTCTGGCAGGATCATTGTCTGTGAACCCGGTCAGGATGTCAAACACACCCAATTTGTTACACAGAACTTTTGAACACTGGAGTCCTTTTAATGCATCTCAATATTCAAGACTGAGTCACTCAAAACCATTAGCCATTTTTTTTTAAGTTTTGGAGGGTTTTGTTTTTTTAAATTAAAGCTGCAATTCTACAGATATTAAGTAGAGCCGTCACCAAGGCCAGTTTCTTGTGCTCGTTGCTGTCAAATGGCTGACAGCATTTTGCAAGACCTTCCTGTAATGCTGTCATTATGGCCTAGAAAGCAAAAACGATTATGCTTGCATCTATTTGCTGTCAGAAAGATTGGTCTGGTCAAGATGTGCATACAGAAGTGGCAGCACAAATGGGAACTGGGCAAATAAAGAAAGAGGCATGACATCTGCAGTGAAGGGGACAGACAAAGTCAAAGGGGGTGAACAAGGAGGCAGAGACCAATGAAGTCCCCCAAACAGAAAGGCTAGGCTGTCCTCTTTATATTGAAAGGAAATGGGCAAGGAGTAGAAGAGCTACAACCAGTATGAAAAAGATGGAAGTGCATTGTTTAATATATAGGTGCAGATTGGCTCCGTCATTCTTTTGTGCCCAGTTTAACTGATGATGGGAGCAAATCTTTAGAATATAGACCACATAGGCCTTATGTGGTCCACTGCTCCTTAGAGGGAACCAAACCAAACCTTCCTTCCCGCTGACACAGTAGTCATTCCACCTGTGGTGAGTGCAATGGGACTTTGGCTGCTGCCTGGCAGTGAGGTGAAGGCACGTGTAGACACTCCTAGCTGCTACAGTCCATTCAGCAGCCTGTGTCTTCCTAGGGTATGCTTCACGCTCCAGAGGCACAGCCGCTGAGTGGCACTGCTGGAAGCATCTGGCTGCATGTGCTCGCCTGCAGTGGCAGCAGCTGGTGGCTGCCAGAAGCTGTGGTGGCAGAGAGCAGGGCAGCAGGGTGGATACATCCTCAGAGGAGTTAAAACATCCTCCCAGCTGATGCTGTGTTCCCACATCTGAAAGTGCTTGGCTCAGGCAGCCTGCATGTGGCAAAAGTGAAATGAAAGCACTGAGTAACAGTTCCCACTGCACCTCTATTGTATTTCTCTTTTTCAATCTATAATATTGCTGTCATGACATACAACTTGTGCCTTAGCCGTGTACAAAGAGTCTGAGTTGCAGCTCTTGTGGGAACTATTGTTGCTAATTACCTGTTTTATTTTGGTTTTTGCTTAGGCCCTGATCCCAAGTTAGTCTGTGAAAAAGGCCTGTGCCCAGCTCTCCCCAGTACCCCAATTGGGGTAGCTGGGGGAGGGGCAGCCCTGCAAGGCAAGGGGGCTCCTTTCTACTTCTCCCACCCTCTCCCTCCCCCCCCAGCTCTGGCCATTCAAAAGCAGCCAGCAGCTCCATGCTGCCATGAGCATTAGCCCAGCACTGTCCCTGAGTGAAAAATTAACCCTGGAGGAAAAACAAGTTCCCTAAGGTGGCCTCCTTTAGTGCACATTAATCTAATACTTCATTGGATCAGGGTTAATGTTTCATGTGCTCGGCCATTTATAAAACGCTCTACAGCCATTCATGTGTTAAGTCGAGTTGCAGAAAGCTTTCAGGGGCCCGATCACACAAAAAATTTCACTTGTATAATCACCCAAAGTTAGATTAGGTGGCCATTTTTAACACAATTTAACTTCTTCCTAATCTCCCCAAATTCTCTACCTAGCGATAGGGTTTTAGGGGGCCTGAATAGTTAATAACTCTCTGTTTGCTTATTTAATGGCCTGTGTTGGCTTATTTTTTATGTTCAATGCATTGAGGGTGTCAACTCTGTTGTTGTTTGTTTTGCTGGCGGTCTTCTAATCCTGGGGGTCATGTGGATGCTTGAAAGCTTGTATAAAATCTCTCCCAACCATGTACTTAGTCCAGTAATATATATCACCCTCCCCACTCCCACATATCTTTGCCCTTCTGCAAATGTAAGGGGACATGGTGGTGGGGAAGAAGTGGAAAGGTAAGAACACAAGTTTTTGAAAGAAAGAGATGTTATAAAAAAATAATGACTAGTTACTGGAAGAAGGCAGGGCAGGAGGCACCTTAGAGACTAACTCGTTCAGCAAGGCATAATGCTATCATAGGCAAAGTAGACCATTGCCTGCAAAAGTTTATGTCTCTCTGAACAAGTTAGTCTTTAAGGCTAGGGACAAAAGACATTGCACACAAACCAGTTTAAGTGATCAGAAACTGGTTTAAACCTGGAACAGAACAGATGTTCAGTGCACATAAACCAGTTTGAAAATGGCTGAAACCGGTTTGAGATAAACCTGGTTGAGTGTAGTATTAGACTTAATAGATTTGATTCAAACTGGTTTATGTATTTTTTGTCCCAGACCCCTTGCTGGTTTAAGATAAACCAGACCCTCCCAGCATCCCGGCATGCTCTCTGGGCTGGGTGGGGCTCTGTGCTCCGCAGCAGGGCTAGCCCCTCCCCTCTGCTCCCTGGCTGGAGCTTGGCAGAGACTGC